GCGCTGTTGTTGACATTTGACAGCTGGCGCTGATGAGCGCCAGGCTTGGAACTCATGTTGATCGAAGAAGACTTGTAATCTCTGTTCAGCGCTATCCACTTTGAACTCACGATGTTCTCTCTCTCATTCCTGTCTCTTATACACATCTAGATGTGTATAAGAGACAGGTGTAGTGTAGTTCGACTTCATTTCCGGCCCACGACCCTCCGAAAAGCTGTTTACTGTCCTTTGGGACATCCGTTAAAAGTTTAAACTGGAACGATACAGAGAAGATTCACATGGCCCCTGCTGCGCAAGGATGACACACATAAATCGAGGCCCAAAAAAAAAGGAAAAGAAAAAAGGAAAAAAAAAAAGAAGAAAAAAGGTCTTACTTCGTAACCCGGTATGAGCCCTGCCCCTGCTCTGCTTCAGGTGACGTATGAGCCCTGCCCCTGCTCTGCTTCAGGTGAACTGACGGTGCACCCGTTCACCTGGGGCGGTATTAAACCCGTGCGGCATTAACAAGTGCGGCATTATGGCGGAGCCTCTACTTTTGCTATCAGACCTGGCCTCCCCCCCCGGTGACAAAATTGGTGCTGCTATGCTAGCCTGCTACCTATTTTAGTATTCTCCCACCTGCCGGTTGCAGCACGAATTCTGCCAACCGGCAGGTACCAGCCTTCAACAGGGGCGTGGGAGGCCAGGTGCAGTAGCAAAATTTGACGCCCTGCGGTAAGGGTAGATTGGATTGATGCAACACTTGAATAGCCCACTACTACTGTTGGGGCAGTTTTAGGGCATTACTCACGATTCAGCTGTGACGTTTGAACTTAATTACGGCCAGATACACCCGCAGCTGGGCGTAATTGCAGTCAGATGCATCCACCGGTACAGCAGGGGCCTGCCTGACCTCTGTGATAAAAAAGCGACTTTTCTCGGTCCGTAATGAATCAGTGATTCAGTATTGTATTGTGTCACACCATTTGATCTCCTTTTCTTTGTTTCTTCAAATCCTCGCCTTTTCAGGAAAAAAAAAAAAAACAAAAAAAAACCACTCACCTTTCGGACATAAAGGTCGATCTTTCCAGGGGCTCCTCCGACATAACCGAAATCTGCATCTGCCATCTCTCCAGGTCCATTGACAATGCATCCCATTACAGCAATCTGAAAGAGATTCCAATAAAAAATAAAAATCAA